GTCTTCCTCTGTGAAGACCAACACGAAATAACCGTTTAATGTCTCGGCTATTTCCTCATTCAGGGTTATTAAATTGGCCTTCTCATCCTCTAAAGGACCAATGTTTACCTTTGCCACTCTTTTACAATTCACATATTTATAGAAACTTTTGCTGCCTGTTTTTATATCCTGAGCTAGTTTACTCTCATAATCTATCTTACTTTTCTTTATAACTTTTTTTGTGGCTTTCTGTTGGCCTTTAAAGAAACCCCGAAATTACAAGTCAGTTAGTCTTACATCAGTGGTGGGCAAATTATTGCAAAGGGCTCTGAGAGAAAGGATTTATGATCACTTGAAAAGGCACAGTTTGATTCGTGATAGTCAGCATGGATTTGTGAGGGGTAGATCATGCCTCACAAACATTATTGAATTCTTTGAAAAAGTGACCAAACACATGGATGAAGGTAGAGCAGTGGATGTGGTATACATGGATTTAAGCAAGGCGTTTGATAAGGCTCCCCATGGTAGGCTCATGCAGAAGGTAAGGAAGCATGGGATAGGGGGAAATGTGGCAGATTGGATTCAGAATTGGCTGACCCTTAGAAGACAAAGGGCGGTAGTGGACGGAAAATATTCAACACGGTGCTCAGTTATGAATGGTGTACCACAAGGATCTGTTCTGGGTCCTCTTCTATTTGTGATTTTTGTAAATGATTTGGATGAAGGAGTGGAAGGGTGGATTAGTAAGTTCGCGGACGATACAAAGGTGGGTCACGTCGTGGACAGTGCGGAGGGCTGTTCTAGGTTACAAAGGGACATTGATAGGATGCAGAGCTGGGCTGAGAAGTGGCAGATGGAGTTTAACCCTGAAAAGTGTGAGGTGATTCATTCTGGAAGGACAAATTTGAAAGCAGAATACAGGGTTAACAGAAAGATTCTTGGCAGTGTAGAGGAGCAGAGGGATCTTAGGGTTCATGTCCACAGTTCCCTGAAAGCTGCCACCCAGGTGGATAGAGTTTTTAAGAAGGCGTATGGTGTGTTAGCTTTCATTAATAGAGGGATTGAGTTCAAGAGCCGTGAAGTAATGCTCCAGCTATAAAAAAAGCCTGGTTCGGCCACATCTGGAGTATTGTGTTCCAGTTCTGGTCGCCTCATTACAGGAAAGATGTGGAAGCGTTGGAAAAGGTGCAGAGGAGATTTACCAGGATGTTGCCTGGAATGGAGGGAAGGTCTTACGAAGAAAGGTTGAGAGAGCTCGGGCTTTTCGCTTTAGAACGACAAAGGATGAGAGGTGACTTGATAGAGGTGTACAAAACGATCAGAGGTATAGATTGAGTGGATGGCCAGAGACTTTTTCCCTGGGGTGGAGGTAGCTATTACAAGGGGACATAGTTTTAAAGTGAGTGGAGGTAGATATAGGGGAGACGTCAGAGTTGGTTGCTGGAGTAGTGGAGTCAGCCTCATTAGGGGCATTTAAGCGGCTATTAGATCAGCATATGGATGATGATAGTATAAGATAGGGGTGGAGGTTAGATAGACCTTAGGATTAGGGTAAAAGTTTGGCACAACAGCGTGAGACCCGGGTTTAATTCCACCCTTGGGTGACTGTCTGTGTGGAGTTTGCACATTCTCCCCATGTCTGTGTGGGTTTCCTCCCAGCCCAAAAACATGCAGGCTCGGTGGGTTATAGGGGGATGGGTCTGGGTGGGATGTTCTGACAGTCGGCGTGGACTTGTTGGGCCGAAAGGCCTGTTCCCACACTGTTGGGATTCTATCTTATTAAGATCTATCTTGGCTGCCTCGGACATTTAAATCCTAGCTTGGGGGTTATTTGACTGCAGTTTGTCTGTTTCCACATAATTACTTCATATTAATATAAGGCATTATATGCATATATGGTTTAGATTGATTATCTTTCTAGCTCAGTAACTATTGAGTCATTTTGCTTATGGTTGTTTTGTTCAAGCCTACATGATATTTTGTTTTGATATTCTAATTCAATCCTGGTATCCTGCTGTTTATTTTCTTACGTTTAGTTTTTTTCCCCCCCGCCATTGCATTCTTTACAAGATTATGGTCTGTCAGATTGTCCAATATTTTTATAACAGGATTATAACACAATTGTGTCCTATACTCTACATAATCATATTTTAGACAATTCTTCAGCTTGGGTGGGGTAACAATCTTTCCCCACACACTCTTCATGCTTCTGTGATCCTCATTATTACATTTTATAGTCTGATAAAGTAATTCTTTTTAAATATCAGACTCCTTCTGCTTTCTGCAAAAAAAAACAAAAGATCTAAAGTAAAACATGAAAACAGTTACACAAACTACTTTGGTTCATGAACTGAACTCATCCAATATTCCACTATTCATAATACACAGAACATTAAGAGTGCACCAAGTGTATTTTTACAGCAATATATTTAAACTGGTATATTAATCAAAGTTTATCTCACCACAAACCAGCATCCAACTGAGGATCTGGTGTATGCATAATAGGCAAAACCCAATTACTTGGCAGATTTTCACATGCAACACAATTGTCTAGCAACCATATGTAAGTTTAAGACAAAGACTGGCATGTATTTAAGTAAGACAAACAGGTTGAAGTGAGCATATTCAACAAACGTGACTACATCAATGAAATGCAAAATAGTGCTCAATGATGGTCCTAAGTTCATATCAATAGGACATTACAACACAGCCTCACTTGACAGCAAGTCGTAGAGGCACTTTGTTTTTGTTTTTAAGTGCCAATGAAACTCTGATGTGTCTGGCAGTGATGGTCAAGAGAGAAACAGTTAGCATTTTGAGTCTGATAGGACTCTTCTTCACAATTGCAGTGGTAGTTGTTGCACTTACGTAGGGCTTGTGACCAGTCTGGTGATATGTATGTTAAGAATAATTCTCATGGCACACTATATGTACAGATGCCCAAGATTACTTTCATCTTTAATGTCCTTTTATACCCCATTTTTTGAGAGCTTGCACAGGAATTGAGCAAATGATTGAATGAACTGCTACAACTAGTTTTAAATAAAGTTTCAACATAACAGTATGGAGATGCCTTCACTTTCACAAAGACAATAAAAAGACCCACAATACTATATTGCTGAATTGGCTTGCAATGTCAAAACAGCACAATGTACCAAAGAAGGCTAGGTAAGTCACTATATCACAGCAACTGATAAGCCATAAAGTGTCTGAATTTGTTTTCATTGAACTCATGACTCAGTAAGTGGTGCAGTTGAATTCAGTTTCAACAACACCACATATATCCAAAATAGATGGTTTCACCATGTGATCCCCTCCGGGTCTAGCTAACATCTTAGTCAATTACCCTGAGAAGCATGTTTTTGATGGAATGACCACTAACTTCCTACCCCTTGCATGTTTATGATACGTAGATAGCATGTTTGTATATTCAAATTTTCAGCTGCAAAGAATATACTTACATAGTTAAGTAAACCTGCACTCAAATTTGCCAATATGAAGCAAACAAGCTTCTCTTTCCTTGATGTGTTAGTTGAGAAATCTGTCAGTGGGTTTGTCTATTACCATTCTTTACTACTGTAAACCTATGTTCACTGTTCAATATGGAATTTCTGCAGTTCCATCAACTTTACTGGCAACCTTATGAAAAAGACCCTTGCCATCTGCTCACCATATAAGCTTGATGAGGAATCAGGGTACATCAAAGGTTGGAAAATGGCTACTCTAATTAAAGCACTCACTGCACATCATAGAAACTCTAAAAAGAGCCTGTAGCCACCATCTTGGCTCTGAAAGGTGCCCAGTCTACCCCCAATTACCCTGGAAGGAAAAGGTGTCTCAAATACTTGACCAACAGAAGAAGTTAGCCATCTTACATTGCTACTGTGTAGTAAACAAAAGTGCTATTTGCCTCCAACAAGGTGATGCAGTCAAGTCAAAAAGACATTTTGCCCACCTTACAATACCTGTCAATATCTACAATAGAAAAGTTGAAGAGTAAGGGAACACTCTCCACTTGCCTGAATGAATGTAGCTCCAACACTGAAGAAGCTTCACACCATCACATGACAGACAATATATTCTGCTTGACGTGCATACTGCTGCCACCGGGTTGCCAAATCTACAAAATGCACTGCAGCAACTCACCAAGAGCACTTTAGCAGCACCAAAATCCTGGAAAAAGCTGCAAAGTCATCGTTTTGATGGGATTTGCTTGCCTATATTGGTTAGTGCATTGAGTATAGGAGTTGGGAGGTCATGTTGCAGCTGCACAGGACATTAGATTTTTGGAATAATGTGTGCAATTCTAGTCTGCCTGCTATAGGAAAAATGTTGTGAAATTTGAAAGGTTTCAGGAAAGAGTTACAGAGATGTTGTTAGGGTTGGAGGGTTTGAGCTATAGGGAGAGGCTATCTTTCCCTAGAGCATCAGAGGCTGAGGGGTGACCAGCCAAGATCTTTTCCCCAAGCTGGGGGAATCCAAAACTACAGGGCGTAGGTTTAAAAGGTGAGAGGAGAAAGGCTGAAAAGAAACTTAAGGGCCAAGAGGGTGGTGCGTGTATGAAACAAGCTGCCAGTGGTGGAGGTTGGAACAACAACAACAGCAACAACATTTAACAGGCATCTGAATGGGTATGCGAATAGGAAGGGTTTAGAAGAATATGGGCCAAATACTGGCAAATGGGACTAGATTAACTTAGAATATCTGGTCAGCATGGACAAGCTGGACTGAAGGGCCTGCTTCTGTGCTGTACAACTCGATGACTCTACTCCATAAACATTATATAATAATAAAAATGTTATCGATATTAAACAGGGGTACAGAAAAATTTAAGACATTTAATTCAGAATGTCAGCATACAAAGTATATGTAACTGTATAGACAATTTAAGCAGAAAGTCTGGATTGAATCAGTAAATGCAAGGTTTTAATATCTGCAAAGTTATGAAGTGGGTGATGAGGAGCCCAATAATGCAACTTAAGTTAGGATCCTGTTAATAATGAGAATGCTTCAGTCAGTACTGAGGAGTATAAAATTTTATTGTGGTACGCATTTTGATAATATATAAAACACTTGTACTTGTGATTTTTGGTTTTATTATGCAGCTGGGAAAGTCAACTAAGAGATTAGAATGGTGGCCATAGTTTAACTCCAATGAAAACAGTACTTGCAATGTCACATATTACTTATCTGTCTAAATGTTGTGCAATTTTTGCATGCACACGTGTACTGCAGTTATAAAGTAGAGGTACATAACAAATGCATCTGACAAGCCCCTACTTTTGAAAAATAATCAATGCTAAGAAAGATGATGTTTTTAAGTCCTGGATAAAGTAATGCACTAAAATTTAACAGTAAACAGCACAGAGATGACAGAAATAAACTCCCTAATCACAAAGAACGCAGAATACTTTTAAAGTACCATTTCCCTTTCTTGAGTAATTTTAAAAATTGCTTTACATCAAATATTTTGCATTAATGAACATCTAAAAAAACTGGCAGTTCTTGCATTTAGTCCTACAAATCCTGTAACCAAGTTAAAAATGGATATGAAACCAATTTACTTGGAAAAGTAACAAATATATTTATAAATTGTAGAGCAAAAATGTCACTTGTATTTCCTACACTTGCCAAAACAAAAAGATATTGATGATAGACTCAAGTCATATCACATGCAAATCTGTATTTATTGTTCAAATTTCTGGAAGGTAAAGGTTTTCAGCAGATGAATAATTACACATTTTAAAAGTAATGCAGCTGAACCCTAATTAAATTTACTCCGAAATGCATACTATTACATAAAGGATTTGACCTGTTGAAAGGTTGAATAGGATCATGTATAAACTCATCTAGATCCCACCATATTTACAAAAAATTGAGGATCTATAGCACAAATCTACCAAGCATTTGGGGCTAAATGTGAAAATTGAATAGGAAGATTGAACAAGTAGCATTAGGTGATTTTGCTAGCCATTAACACTATGTTGTCTGACCCCTCCCAATGCACAATTTCTAATTCCAAACAAAATGAAGCATGCTCACATTTAAAATGAATTTATTACAGTTAAGTGATTTCTTTTTAACCTAAAATTAAAGTTGATTAGCAAACCTTCTTCAGCCACTTCCATCTTAATTTCAAACAGAATCAAGACCCGAGAAAATAACACACGTACATCGATATCAATAAAGGTAAGTGTTCCTCTAAATGTGTGGCAACCAAGAGAGTCAAATTCCCATTTGATGGGTATGAAAAATAGTTTTATAGTATAATTAGCAAACATTCATTTAAGTAAGCAATACATTTTAACTTCTTGTACAAAGTTAAACCTTTACACCACATTCTTATTTAAATATGAAATTACCTTTAGGCACACAGTTATGAATGTTTCAAAAATCATTTTGTAATAATAAATGTTAGAGAAAATCCTGGATAAGAAACTGTAAGAGTGAAAGGTTTCTGGCCCTTAGTCGACCACATTTTGAAACAACATTCTTTGCACACATTTGCAAGACAAATGCACTCAACTTTATTAGTACAGTTTCCATAATTTTAACCAAACGTTAAAAAGACAAGTTCATTTTTCTGTAGTTGGTCATCCTTATATTCAGTAGATAGTGATCTATTTCCACACATTCTGCAAATATAGCATGACATCCCTGTGTGACTTCTGGTTCACAAATATCAGGAGATCCTAGTGAAGGATGCATTCAGATGCTTCCTTGATCAACGCTGCGGCCTTGTCTAACTCTTCCTCTGTTAATTTGATAGTAGTCACTACCCGCACACTAGGAATCCAATGAAAAGCTGTATTATTTCCAGAGCTGAAAGAGTACAAGTAGTTTACTTGACTATCTATCTAGTGTTCTGGTCTTTGAAATTCCAAACTAAGGAAGTAAAACTCCTTTTAATTATAAAACGCGGTTTGCTTGAATGCCCTTTGCTACAAAATCTATTAGACACTTGTGGGGAAGGATCATACTCCAATTTGGGTCTCTACACGAAATGTCCCTTTAAATGAAAATAGCGCAGCTACAGTAATTAGGTAATTCCCATGAATGTTATGTAGAATTCCCACACAAGAAATGTCTAGTTAAAGGACAAGTCATGAAATTGAAGGGAAATTATGACCAGGTCAGTTGGAATAATTGACAACTCTAGTGGCAGAATGTGACTAAATCTATGTTGAAATCTCAATTATTCACTGCATTTATGTACAACTTAGATAAAGGGGATATAGGCAAGAAAGGATAGACACCGTCACACACAGGTATCCAGGTTTTCCAAGAATAGAAATATAGATAACAAACCAGATACAAGCACAAAATTGAAGACATTTTTGGATGATGGACATGGCAAAAATATGGCAAACAGATTTCAATGTCATCCAACATGTGATCATCTATCTTGGATCATAGAGTCAGATCTACAGCACGGAAACAGGCCTTTCGGTATAACTTGCCCATGCCACCCAGTTTTCACAATTAAACTAGTCCCATTTGTCTGCATTTGGTCCACATCCCTCCAAACCTATCCTATCCTATCCAATCCATGTACTTGTGCAAATGTTTCTTAAATGACAAAATTGTATTCACTTCCACCACTACCTCTGGCAGCCTATTCCAGACACTCACCACCTTCTGTTCAAAAACACTGCCCCTTTGGATCTCTCCCCACTCACTTTAAACCTACATCCTCTAGCTTTAGACTCCCCTACCATGATGAAGAGCTGTTGGCCATCTACCTTATTTATGCCTTTCATGATTTTATTAACCTCTACAAGGTCACCCTTCAGTCTACTACACTCCAGGGAAAAAGTCCCAGCCTACCCAACCTCTCCTTATAACTTAAACCTTCCACTCCAGGTAGCATACTGGTAAATCTTTTCTACACTCTTACTAGTTTAATAATATCCTTCCTATAGTAAGGTGACCAGAACTGCATGCAGTACTCCAAATGTCAATGCCTTATACAGCTGCTATACTCAATTCTCTGACCAATGAAAACAAGGATGCCAAAAGCCTTCACCACCCGACTCCCTGTGACTCCACTTTCAAGGAGCTATAAAACTGTATCCCTAGATTTCTGTGTTCTATAACACTCCTGAGGGCGCAGCCATTGACTGTATAAGTCCTGCTCTGGTTTGATCCACCAAAAATGCAACACATTGCATTTATCTAAATTAAAGTCTGCGATCCCTCAGCCCACTGGCCCAGTTAAATCAACATCTTGCTACATTCCCAGGTAACCTTCTTCACTGTTCACTATACCAATCTTGGCGTTAGCCACAAACATACTAACGATACCGCTTAAATTATCATCTAAATTATTTATATAAATGAAACCATTGTCAACTGTTGGAAAAACCCATCTGGTTCACTAATCGCCTTTAGGGAAGGAAATCTGCTATTCTCACCCACATGTGACTCATTTACAAATTTACTAACCATGCCTCCTATCTTCTCATCCAAATCGTTTATATAAAAGAACAAGCAACAGTGATCTCAGCACCGATTCCTGTGGCACACAGCTCTTCACAGGCCTCCGGTCTGAAAAAAAACCCCTCTACCACCACCTTCTGTCTTCTACTGTCAAGCCAATTTTGTATCTAATTGGCTAGGTCTCCCTGCATCCAGTCAGATTTAATTTTAACTCAACAACCTACCGTGCAGTACTTTGTCAAAGGCATTGCCAAAGTCCATGCAGACAAAATCTACCACACTGCCCTCATCTTTTCTGGACACCGTTCAAAAAACTCAATCAAATGAGACACTATTTCCTGCGCACAGTAAAAGGTAAAATAAGGGTACTTTCTGAACAGTTAAAAGTTAGAAATTAATGTTGGTCTAAGGAGAGTTGGCTACATAGAGGTACAGAAAATAATTAATGAAAAAGGGCCAATGGAATGCTGGGCTTTATGCTGACAAGGAAAAGATTATGGATGTTATACTTAAATAAAGCTCTGGTTAGACCAAACCTGGAATACTGTACTCTGTTTTAGGTACCACACTTTCAGAAAAATACCAGAGCAGAATGATTCCTAATCTCCAAGGTTTAAATTATGAGGAGAGATTACACAAATAGCACTGTGCCTTCTGAAATTTAGAAGGAAAAGAGATGGTGTGACTTAGGATCTTAAAAACAGATAGAGAGACGCTTTCGGCTGATTGGGATCTCAAGGAAGACAAATGCAAGACTGGTTCCAATGGTTTGGGTTTCAGGAATGAAGTTCAAAAATTCTTCAGATACAAGTTAGAAATTTTCAACACTCTTCTGCAAATGACAACTGATGTTTGAATGTTTCATTAATTTTAAATTTGAGATTGATAGATTTTTGTTAACTCAGGATACTAAGGGATATGTGGCAAAAGGCATGCACTTGAGTCACAGATCAATCATGAGATCAGAATAGCAAAACAGGTACAGGGGCTATATTGCCTATTCTCATTATCTTTGGACTACACCCAAATAAGGATCAAAATTTGAGGAGTGGAGAGAAAGGCAGAAGATTCATAGAAGCAAAAAGTCCTACAAAAGTCCACAAAAAAACTGTTGAAAAGTTCCTAACTGACAACAGGTGTAATAGAATTGAATACAGCCTTTTGTAGATTGGCCTTAAAAGGAGGTCATTCTCCAAATACAAGTTCCTTACTTATAACAAAATCAGCACAGCAAAGGAATAAAAGAAAAAAAGAACAAGTGGAAGATATCAAGTTAATAGTAAACAATGCTGAATCAAAATTAGGAAACATTTTTACAATGGCTTGAACTTTACTGTAACAATATTTTACTGAAACTGACATCAACTCGAGAGACCACATAGGGACAGAATAACACCGAAATCCAGAATCGGTTTTCAGTAGTAATGCTACTCTCCAGAGTTGCTACTGATTGTAATCAATGAGAGGTGGGTCGTCAATGCAGAACACAGATTGCAGCAGATCAAAAAGGTCGCTCATCACCTCCTCACGGGCAACTAGGGACAGGCAATAAATGCTGACCCAGCCAGTGACTCCCACATTCTACCAGTGGTAATTTGAAAAAGCAAAATTGATCAAAACTGACAATTTATGTAGTGACACATGAAAAATCCTGGAAAAAGCTGCATAGAGTCATACAGCATGGAAACAGACCCTCCAGTCCAACTATTCCATGCCAACTATGTTCCCAAACTAAATTAGTCCCAACTTGCCTGCATTTGGCCCATATCCCTCCAAACCTTTCGTACTCGTGTACTTATCCAGATGTCTTTTAAATGTTGTAACTGTACCTGGATTTACTATTTCCACTGGCTGGTTCATATGTGGAATGAACTACTCTAAAAAAAGTTAACCCTTTTCTTTTTCAAAACTCTCTCATCTTAAAAAATATGCTTAGTTTTGAACTCTATAAGCCTCTTTCATGTCACCTCTCAACCTCGTACACTCCAGTAAAAGTTCCAGCCTATTTTTTATAAAAACCCTCCATTCTTGGCAACATCCTGGTATATCTTTTTTGAATCCTCTAATTTAATAACATCCTTCCTATTAAATCAGAGTGACCAAAACGGCACACAGTACTCCAGAAGTGGCCTCACCAACATCCTGTACAACCTCAACATGACAACCCAACTCCTGTACTCAAAGGTCTGAGCAATGAGGCAATCATGCTAAATGCCTTCTTAACCAGCCTGTCTACCTGTGCATCTTTTTGAATGGTTTTTCAATGCCATGTTAGCTTCATAATTACTGCTAGACACCTTCACTAGCTGTGAAAAGATCGTGAAATGTTAAATTTCCCTATGATAAAATATTTAAATTTACTATTTTGAAAGTTTAAAACATTAGCTTCTTACCGGATCCAATCATAAATCATTATTTAATTTGCTACCTGAAAACTAAATGCTTTAGACTTCTTAGTTTGCCGTATGTGAATACTTTGATATGATTGCTTACCTGCTTGATTACGTGCACGATTTAAATGGTCAACAAAAACGGACCACAAAATCCAGCAAATCAGAATTATTACAAAATATATGAGCAACAGTTACCTTGGAGGAGGCAAAACTCTTTCTTCTTTATCTAAGTAACGTGCTTGAGTTAATGCGATCCCTTGTTTCATGCACTGTTAAAAGGTAACATTTTGATTAAAGTAGTACAACTTAAATTTAAAAAACACATTCAGCATAAAAATCATCTGCTTCATTCCACAGAATGCACGTAAATTTTCAAAATAGTTTTTTTTATTAAGTCTTTGATGATAATTATGAACTACCCTCTCCATTGATCAAACTGTTTGGTATTGTACCTGAACTAAAGCACCACTTTTCAATTATACCTTGATTTCGGTCACACATACTATACAAGTTAAACATCCAAATCAAAACGTTCTATTGACCTATCACCTGTGCTCCACCCTTGCCCCCTCCGATCACTCAAGTGATTGGGTCCCCTTTGTTCTCACTTTTCACCCCACCAACCTCTGCATTCAAAGGATCATCTTCCGCTATTTCAAACAACTCCAGTGGAATGCTGCCACCAAACACATCCTCCCCTCACTCCCTGTCTGCATTTCACGGCAATCGTTCCCTCCAGGACATTAGTCCATTCTTGACAACCAAAGTCACTCCTACCACTCCATCTTTCCCATGCAACCACAGAAGGTGCAACACCTGCGCCATCACCACCTCCCTGCTCATCATTCAAGGACCTAAACAGTCTTTTCAAGTGAAGCAGCATTTCACTGGTACTATTCCAAAGTTGTGTACTGTGTTCGCTGCACTCAATGTGGCCTACTCTACATTGGAGTAACCAAATGCAGACTGTGTGATTGCTTTGAAGAACACCTCTGTTCCATGCACAAGCATGGCTCTGACCTTCCCATAGCCGGTCATTTTAACACAGCGTCTTGCTCGTATGCCCACTGTCTGACCTCGGCATGCTGCAATGCTCCAGCGAATCACAGAGCAAATTGGAGGAGCAACATCTCATCTTCAAAATAGTCAGTTTACAACCTTGTGGGCTCAACATTGAAATCAACACCTTCAAATTGTGAACCCATTCCTTCCTTTTCTTTTAGCTTGGATTGTTACATTGTCTGTCACCTTCTCTCCCCTCCCCCTATTTCAGCAGGACTGTCTGTTCTTTCCAGTCTGGCAGTTAGACACACCATTGTTCTGCCATTCTCACATTCTGATCACTTAATCAAAACTATCAACAGACTTTTTCTCCCAGCAATCCAACACCACACCCTCTCCCCTCTGCAACTATTGCATAAATGCTACCCCCTCCACCCTTCACTTCAGCTCTGAAGAACAGTCAACTAGACTTAAAATGTTAGCTTGATTTCTCTCCATGGATGCTGCCTGACCTGTGATCTCCAGCACTTTTTCAGTTCAGATTCCAGGATCTGCAGTAATTTGTTCTTACATTCTGTGACTATCAATCTGCTAACAACAATAGCATAATAATGAGAAACAATCTTGGGAAGGAAGAAACACAAAAAAAAACAACTTACTTCAAGTTTATAGGGCAAGTTTAGTATGTAAAATGGTACAAAACAAATATGTGCCACAACATTTTGCACAAGCTTTATCAAAAGTTATCAACTGAGGTTAGTACCACCACACATTTCATAGACTCCCTTCAGTGTGGAAACAGGCCCTTCGGCCCAACAAGTCAACACCGACCCTCAGAGCATCCCCCCCCAGACCCATCCCCTTATAACCCACCTAATCTATACATCCCTGAACACTACGGGCAATTTAGCATGGTCAATCCACCTAGCCTGCACATCTTTGGACTGCGGGAGGAAACCCATGCAGACACGGGGAGAATGTGCAAAATTCAAAAAGACTGGAATCGAACCAGAGTCCCTGGCGCTGTGAGACAGCAGTGCTAACTACTGAGCCACCGTGCCACCCATTTCATCGGGTTTAGAGTGCGACACTGAAAGCATTTGCACATTGCAGCTTTAAAAGAAAAACTCACGTAATCAACAATTTCCTGAAGTAGCTTAACATCGTTCTCTCGCGATCCTCTGCTCCTTTCAAACACCAGGTGAATGGCTGGAGAAAATGATTCGCCCACGACTTTGAGGCCAGAGATACTGCAATATTAAATTATATAAATCTAAAGAAAATACTTATATCTATTATATAGACATTTGAAATCATAAGAGATGCAATGGCACAACATAAGAACTGATCAATAATATCAGTTATACAACTTTAGATGGTATACAAATGTTACAGTTAGCTTGGCCAAGTTAGCAAAACTGTCTTAACCAAAATCAGTAGAGCTCACATTTCAGAACAGAACCAATTTTGGCCTGTTCAGGTGAACATTCTAGTCTGATGACATTACATAGAGTGAAGTTCTTTGTGTGGTCTGGTCAATGTTCTTCACTCAGCCAACAAATTTATTCTGTTTATTTTACAAATAAAGCTACAAAAATCACATTGTTGTTTAAAAATCTCTGTGGGATGATCAAGTATCATGCCTTCTTTTATAACATATGTAAGACAATAAATGTTCACATAAGGAGGCAATGGTTTGTTGCAAGTTGGAGATAAAAACAATAATTGCCTTGATCCTTTGGAATTCACCTACTGGTGTAACAGGTCCACAGCAGACAACATCTCCCTGGCCCTACATAACAAGGATACCTACATCAGCTCCTACTTATTGACTAAAAACGAAAAGAACTGCGGATGCTGTAAATCAGGAACAAAAACAAAATTGCTGGAAAAGCTCAGCAGGTCTGGCAGCGTCAGCGTAGGAAAAAGCAGAGTTAACACTTCAGGTCCGGTGACCCTTCCTCAGAGCTGATGGTGGCTGGGAAAATGTGAGTTTATATGCAGAAAAAAGGGAAGGGGGAATAGGGTAGGGAGTAAACAATAGGATAGAGCCTAAAGAGAGAGAACAGCAGTTGGACAGACAAATAGTTGATAATGATCAGGCTGGGTGGGTGAATAGTTGTTAATGGGGACTATTAGTGACTAACAAGAGGTGGTGTGTAACGGCAGGCTATGTGGTAACAAGGCCTGGTGTGTGAAGTAGGGGGCTGGGACATGGAGAATTTAGGCCCTAAAATTATTGAACTCGATATGGAGTCCGGAGGGCTGCAGGGTCCCCAAGTGGACAATGAGGTGTTGTTCTTCTAGCTTGCATTGATCTTCACGAGAACACTGCAGCAAGCCAGAGCTGGATGAACACAGCAGGCCAAGCAGCATCAGAGGAAAGCTGACGTTTTGGGTCTGGACCCTTCTCCAGAGACAGACATGTTGGTCAGGGAACAGGGTGGTGCATTAAAGTGGCAGGCAACCGGTAGTTCAGGGTCTTTTTTGCGAACAGAACACAGATGTTCTGCGAAACAGTTACTTATTCTATGCTTCGGTTCCCCAGTGTAGAGGAGACCACATTGTGAGCAGCAAATGCAGTAGACTAGATTCTCACAAGTGCAAGTGAAGTGTTGCTTACCTGGAAGGTATGTTTGGGCCCTTGGATACTGGGCAGGTGTTGCACCTTCGTTGGTTACAGGGGAAGATGCTGTAGGGAGGAGGGAGGGGTTTGGGGGTGAAGGAAGTGTGGACCAGGGTGGCCCAAAGGGAACAGTCCCTATGGAAGGCGAACATGGGAGTGGAGGGGAGGGGAATGCGCCTGGTGGTGGCATCTTGCTGGAGATGGCGGAAATGGCACCTGATGATCTTCTGGATGTGGATGCTGGTGGGAAGATAGGTAAGGACAAGGGGAAGCCTATTGCTGGAGGGTAGAGAAGGGGTGAGGGCGGAACTGTGGGAGATGGGTTGGACCCAGTTGAGGGCCCTGTTGACCATGGAGCTAGGGAATCCTCAGTTGAGGAAAAAGGGGGACATTTCGCATGCTCCCTTGTCGAAGTTGGCCTCATCTGAACATATATGACAGAGATAGAGGAACTGAGAGAATGGGATGGAGTCTTTACAGGAAGTGGGATGTGAGGATTTATAGTCCAGGTAGCTGGGAGTCAGTGGGTTTGTAGTGGATATTAGTGGCCAGAAATGGAAACAGAAATGTTGGAGGAACGGAAGGGAGGAGTCAGACATAGACCAGATGAAAGCGAGGGCAGGGTGGAAATTGAAGGCGAAATTGATGAAGTTTTCCAATTCTGGGTGAGAGAGGGAAGCAGCACCGATGATATCATCAATGTATCGGAATAATAGTTGTGGGTGGGGGCTGGAATAGGACTCAAACAAGGAATGTTCTATGTACCCCATGAAGAGACAGGTATAACTAGGGCCTATGCGGGTACCCATGGCCACCCCTCTTACCTGAAGAAAACGAGAGGAGTTAAAAGAGAAGTTGTTGAGGACAAGCTCTGCCAAGCAGAGGAGTTTGGTGGTGGGTGGGGATGGCTCAGGTCTTTGCTCCAGGAAGAAGCGGAAAGCCCCAAGACCTGCTGGTGGGGAATGGACATGTAAAGGGACTGCAAATCCACGGTAAAGAGGAGGCGGCTGAAACCAGCAAACTGGAAGTTTTTAAAACTGGCGTAAGGTGTCAGAGGAATCATTGATGTATGTGGGCAGGGATTGGACCATGGGAAAAAAGACGGAGTCAAAAAGACCCTAAACTACCCGTTGCCTGCCACTTTAATGCACCACCCTGTTCCCTGACCAACACGTCTGTCTCTGGCTTGCTGCAGTGTTCTAGCAAAGCTCAATGCAAGCTGAAAGAACAACACCTCATTTTCCGCTTGGGGATCCTGCAGCCGTCTGGATTCAATATCTAGTTCAATAATTTTAGGGCCTAAACTCTCCCATGTCCCAGCCCCCTACCCCACACACCAGGCCTTGTTACCACATAGCCTGCCATTACACACCACCTGTTGTTAGGTCACTAATAGTCCCCATTAACAACTATTCACCCTCCCAGCCTGATCATTATCAACTATTTGTTTGTCCAATGGCTCTGCTCTCTCTTCAGGCTCTATCCTATTGTTTATTCCTTACCCTATCCCCCTTCCCTTTTTTCTGCATATAAACTGATGTTTTCCCAGCCACCAGTTCTGGGGAAGGGTCACCAGACCCGAAACATTAACTCGGTTTTTTCCTTCGCGGACGCTGCCAGGGCTGCTGAGCTTTTCCAGCCACTTTGTTTTTGTTCCTACTTATTGACTATAGTTCTACCTTCACTATAAACGCAAACAAATTCATCTCTAAACTCTAAGACCTAGATCCTAGATCCCAGCTCCCCAAGCTGTAGCTGGATTCTCTACTTCCTAACTCACAGACCGCAAACAGTAAGAATAGGCAACACCTCCTCCACCATAATTCTCATTACTGGGTGCCCTGCAAGGCTGTATACTCAGCCCCCTACTATACTCCATATATCTCACGACTGTGTGGTCAAATTCTGCCACAATTCCATTTATACCACCGTTGTTGGTCAGATCTCAAACAACGATGGTATGGAATACAAGAAAAGATAGAGTGCTTAGTTGTATGCTGTAAAGACAACAGTCTCTCCATCCACATCAGCAAAATAAAGGAGCTGGTCATTGACTTCAGGAAGTGGAGTGAAGGACACACCCCGGTCTGCAGCAATGGTACTGAGGTGGAGATGGTCGAGAGTGTCAAGTGCCTGAAACGGAGATTCAATTTGTCCTGGTCCATCTACGTTGATGTAGTGGTCAAGAAAGCACACCAACATCTCTACTTCCTCAGTAGGCTAAGGAAATTTGGCATGTTCATAAGGACTATAACCAATTTTTAGAAATGCACCATAGAAAGCATCCTATCTGGATGCATCACAGCATGATTTGGCAACCACACTTCCCCAGACCACAAGAAACTACAGACAGTTGTGAACACTGCTCAGTCTGTCACATAAATCAACCTTCAATCTATTGACTCTGTCTACACTCCCTGCTGTCTCAGGAAAGCAACCAACAGAATCAAAGATCCTTCCTACTCCAGTTATACTCTCCTTCACCCTCTCTTGTTGGGCAGAAGATATAAAAGTTTGAATCCACTATACGAATGGATTAGAGAACAGCTTCCTCCCCGCTGTAATCAGACCTCAAATGTTATTTTTGATCTCTTTGTCTGCACCTCCTCTGCATTTGCAACACTGCATTCATCACTCCATTCTGCCACCTACATGCACTTTATATGGTACGATCTGCCGGTATAGCACCAAAACAACGCTTTTCACTGTATTACGATACATGTGACAACAATAAATTTATCAATAATTGAAAAAACATAAAAATATATATTATACAATGAATAAGCTGAAGGCTTGTGATACCAGGTTAGCCAGTAGTGAAAAGATTACAAAAGCTCAACGTGTACGTTTAAAGTTTTAGCAAAGATTTATAGCTCGGGACGTGGGTGAGGTTGTTGACTTGCTCGCCGAGCTGGCTTGTTTTCGTTCAGACGTTTCGTCACCATGCTAGGTGACCTCATCAGTGAGGCCTCCGATGAAACAATGTTCTTCTACTCCACTTGGAATTTATATTGTCTGGTTTGTTGTGATGAGTCGTGTCATTTCCAGCTTTGATTTGTATTGTATATGGGGTCCAATTCTATAATGTTTGTTGATAGCATTAGAGGTTGAGAACCATGCCTCCAGGAATTCCCGTGGGCGTCTACGTTTGGCTTGGGCTACTATGGTTACGTTATCCCAGATAAACTGATGGTCTTCATTGACTGAGTGTACTGATATTAAAGAAAGTTCGTCGTGTCATTTTGCTACCAGCTGATGTTCATGTATTCTATAGCTAGTTTCCTTCCTGTCTGTCCAATGCAATCAACACATTAGGGCGTACTGTGTCCTCCTGTTGTCGGTTTAGTAGGCATCTGCGGATGAAGTTGCGGGGATATCTGTTCATAGCGAAGATTTTGTATAAGTGCTTCTCCTCTTTCTTGTATAGTTATGGAGTGTTGCAGTGTGTTGTGTCCCATTTAAATAGTGTCCTGATGCAGCTTTGTTTGTGGACGTTGAGGTGGTTGCTGTGGAAGTTTAGGATTTGATCAGTGTGGGTTGCTTTTCTGTATACTGAGGTTTGGAACTCCGTTGGTCATATGCTCAACTCAGACATCCAGAAACAGAAGTTGATGGTTGTTTTCTTCTTTGTGAATTTAATCCTTGCGAATACGTTGTTGATGAGGTGGTGGGTCTCTTCTAATTTGTTGTATTTAATAATGACAAATGTGTCTACGTACCAGATCCACAGTTTAGGTTGAATGCAGGGGAGGATGGTATGTTCTAGCCTTTGCATGACTACTTCTGTGAGGAGTCCCGAGATGGGTGACCCCATTGGTGTACCATTGATCTGTTTGTATACTTGACCATTAAAGACGAAGTGTGTGGTGACGCACAGGTCTACTAGTTTAACTATGTTGTCGTTGCTGATAGAGCTGCTGGTCTGCGTCGCTACTTCCCTCCAGTAATGCGGCCAGTTTCTTTGGCTAGCGGGATGTTGATCAACGTGAATAAAGCTGTGAAGTCAAAGGATACCATAGTCTTGCCATTGCTGATTTTTACGTTCTTGAGGGTATCGAGGAATTCTTGGGTTGAGTGGATGGAATGGGGTGATCCATCAACGAGGTGTTTCAATCTCTGTTGTAGGTCCTTGGCCAGTTTGTATGAAAGTGTGCTGGGGAGGAATGGTAGTACAATGGGTCTGGGGGGGCGATGTCTCATTTGTGCACTTTAGGCAGTCCACAGAAGCAGGAGGTGTTCATGCCTTCCTGTTTCATTCTCTTGCAGTCTGTCTTGGTTATCTGTCCTGCATCCTTTAGTCTCTTCTGTATCCGGATGATCCTATTACCTCGCTGCAGTGTTGGGTTTATCGCCACCTGTTGGTAAGTGGTTGTATCTGCAAGCAATGCCTGTGCTTTCTTAACATAGTCTGGTTTGTTCATAAGGACTGTCATGTGCCCTTTTTCTGCTGGTAGGATAATAATATTCTTGCCTTTCTTGAGTTTACCTAGTGCTTCTCTCTCTGATGTGTTCAGGGTGTCCTCTTTGTTCATTCTGTGTAACGAGGGGATTATAGTTTGTCAGATGGCTTGTTGGGTTTCATCAGTGAGACTGTTATCTTTTAATGTGGTTTCAAGGGTGGCCATGAAGTCTGTTCGCATCTTTGTGGTTATACTTCAGTCCACGCAATAGGACACCTTTCTCAGTTTCTGAGAGTTATCTGCTGGTTAGGTTTCTTATCCATGTGTCCGGTTTGTTGTTGTCCTCATCTTTGTGGTGGACCAGTTTGGTGAGTTTCTTCTGCAGTTTGTGTCTCTTCTTAGTTTTGGTTGCGTTGATTGATGGTAATGGCCTGTTCTGGGGTTGTAGTCCACTGCTGGTCCTGGGATACCAGTACACACTGAATTTTGGTGCGAAATTTCCTGTTAGTACCTACAGAGTCAGTTATGAGCATCATTAATCATTACTCGTAGCGTTCTGCATCCGTTCTGTTCAGCTATTTTGTATGCCTGTGGGTTACTGAATGGAGGTTTGTACTTCACGCTGCAGGGCAGTAACTGGTTCTTGAGGCATTCATGGAGAAAGGGAAGTTGTTCAAGGGTAGAGCACTGCTCTACATCAAGAACATATCAGAACTGACAACAAGGCTCCTAAGACCACTAGGAAGGTAGCCCACAAGCTCACAGCCACTCTGCAGCAAACACGCACAAGGATTAAAGACCCCATTCCCACAACACGCAGAATCAACGCGGTTTACAAAAACATGCAACGACTGTCACAAACATTACAAATGAAAATGAACAAAATGAAAAAGTATAACACAGGAACAGGCCCTTTGGCCCTCCAAGCCTGTGCCGACCATCACGCTGTAATTAATCTAAAAACAAACCTGCCATTTTTTTTTTTTTTTTTTTAAAAATCCATATCCCTCTATTCCCTCCCTATTTATGTACGCATCTGGGTGCCTCTTAAAATGTCTTCAACATGCCCGCTTCCATGACCTCTTCTGGTAGTGCATTCCAGGCTGCTACCACACTGAAAAACTTCCCTCGCACATCTCCCTTAAATTTTCTCCCATAAACTTTCTCCCACTGACCTTGAACCTGTGCCGCCTTGTAATTGAAACTTCAACCCTGGGAAAAAGCCTCTGACTATCCACGCTATCTATGCCTCTCAATTTTGTAGACCTCTATCTATTACATCGGACAGACAGGAAGGAAACTGGTTATCAGAATACACGAACATCAGCTAGCAGCAAAACGACACGACAAACTTTCTTTATTATCAGTATACTCAGACAATGAAGGCCATCAGTTTAACTGGGACAATGTAACCATAGTAGCCCAAGCCAAACACAGACACACTCAGGAATTCCTAGAGGCATGGTTCTCAATCCCAAATGCTATCAACAAACATACAGAATTGGGAACAAAAACAAAGTTGCTGGAAAAGCTCAGCGGGTCTGGCAGCATCTGTAAAGGAAATAAAAGCAGCTAACGTTTTGGGTCTGGTGACGCTTCCTCAGAACATATATAGAATTGGACCCCACATACAAACCCTTACAGATCAAAACCAGAAGTGACGACTCACCACAACGGACCAGACAGTATAAATTTCAAGCGGAGTAGAACCACATTGCTTCATCGGAGGCCTCACCGATGATGTCACCTAGCACGGTGACGAAATGTCTGAACGAAAACAAGCCAGCTCGGGGAGCAAGTCAACAACCTCATCAATGTGTATGTTTCATACTAATTTAGCAAATACTTATGTACTTACCCCTGCAATGCACAATGAATTCGCTGACACTTTTGTCTTAATACTCTGAAAATATCTACAGAACAGTTTAAAATTAGTATTGTATTTTGTGTCAACAAATACAACATCAGATTCACACTCAAATATTATGCATTCACATAATTCATTAATTCCAACTGCTGAATCATAAATTCTGCTTATACACCAAAACATTCAAGACAGCTATATAGAAATCAGCAATTAGAGATAAGCCTTGCCATAAATAGAAATGAAAACATTACATGCGTAAATTAAAAATTAATAGGAGACATACTTCAAATTTGGCACTACATTATGCAAATGTTTTAAAAATTAAATCTCAATGTTGGTTTCCACAAAGCTGTTAGATCATAGAATCCCTACAGTGTGGAAACAGGCCCTCCAGCCCAACAAGTCCACACCGACCCTCAAGAGCATCCCACCCAGACCCACTGCCCTATAACCCACCTAATCTACAGATCCTTGAAAACTATGGGCAATTTAGAATGGCCAATCTACCTAGCCTGCACATCTTTGGACTGTGAGGAAACATGAGCACCCAGAGGAAATCCATTCAATTATCCACTTCGATGACATTCTCTTGCCTTCTCCCTATAGCCCTTGATGCCTTTGGTGTACAGAAATCTATTTATTTCATAAATATGTTCAGTGACTTTGTTTCCATAACCTTGTTGTAGAGAATTTCACAGGTTCGCCAAATTTCCCAGCAATGAAATTTCTCACCTAACTGGCCTGCACCATATTTCAAGACCGCGACCTCTTGTTACAGACTGTAAACTTGAATAATGAATTTTGACAAATTTAAACTTCAAGTTAGGCTTCACTCTATGGGAATAAACTCAGCTTCTTGAGGCTGCTTCATTTTGAAACTATGTCAAAAGCGATAATGGACTAGATATATCTATGATGTTAGTATCTTGATGCTCTAATAATTTAAGAATACATTGGCTCAGAATAAATTAGAGAGTAATTACAATACCTGGGTCGTCCTCCATAATGTTGAGAGCTTCTATGGCAGCAGAAGCAAGCATTGGTGGCAAAGATGCAGAGAAACAATAACCTTGTCCTGAAAGACGCTTTGGAGAAAAATAGAGAAACACATTAATTTAAATACAATTTTGGTAAACATCACCTCAAGAATATAATGATTAAGATTTCAGGAAAAGTAGTTTACCATTTTCAGATGAATTGATCAAACAATGGACTATAAATGAACAAAAGCAAAATTTAGGATTCTTCATATGATAGTGTAAACAAATTAATGGTCTCTTGGTGGGAAGGGCAGTGGGAAACCAGAGGACTGGGAAGCTTACAAAGACCAACAGAGGGCAACAAAAAAAAAAAACAAAACAAAAAAGGGCGGGAGGGGGTGGTGGGAGAAGATTAAATAGGAGGGTAAGCTAGCCAGTAATATAAATGAAGGCTGTAAGCGTTTCTTTAGGTATATAAAAGGGCAAAAAGAGGCAAAAGTGGACACTGGACCACTGGAAAATGACAGTGGAGAGATAATAGTGGGGAACAAGGAAATGGCTGAGGAACTGAATTATTACTTCGCGTCAGTCTTCACGGTGGAAGACAAGAGTAATATCCCAAATATTCAAGAGAGTCAGGGGGCAGAGCGGAGTATGGTGGCCATCACCAAGGAAAAGGTGCTAGTAAAACTGATTGGCCTGAAGGCGGACAAATCACCTGGACCAGATGGACTACACCCCAGAGTTCTAAAGGAGATAGCTGAAGAGATAGTGGAAGGGTTAGTGGTGATCCTTCAGGAAAATCGCTAGAGTCAGGGAATGTCCCTGAGGACTGGAAAATCGTGAATGTGACATCTCTGTTTAAAAAAGGGAGTAAGGCAAAAGACGGAAAATTATAGGCCGATTAGCCTAACCTCATTGGGGGTAAGATTTTGGAGTCCATTGTAAAGGATGAGATTTCTGAATATTTGGAAGTGTATGGTAAAATAGGGCAAAGTCAGCATGGTTTCATCAAGGGGAGGTCATGCCTGACAAATCTGCTAGAATTCTTTGAGGAAGTAATGAGCAGAGTAGGCCAAGGAGAGCCAATGGATGTTATCTACCTGGACTTCAAGAAGGCCTTTGATAAGGTGCCACACAGGAGGCTGCTGAGCAAGATAAGGG